TTATCCACCCCGCACAACATGATCTACTCGACCACCATTATGGTTAACGCCAAAAAAATACAGAGGTAAAAACGGTAACCTGGTTGCCGAGTTCACGAAGTGAATTGGCTTGTTTTACAACGTCATTGCCAAGCGACGAAAACCCAACCCCGATGGCAAACACCGGGGGGGGTGGCTTGTTTTACAACGTCGTTGCCAAGCGACGAAAACCCATCCCCGATTGCAAACACCGGAGGGGGGTGGAGGGGGGGGTTAGAGTTGTACGGTGTCCGCTGTTCTCTTTTTACACTAAAAATCGTCCTGGCTTTTTCTTCCCGTCTTACACGAGTTGTGCTCGCGTCTACCACAGAGACTAGCTTCCCGGCAAAAAAAAAAGGTTCCTCCTCCAACCCTACTGCTGTACTTAATTCGTCCATATCCTTGCCTGGAACGAGCACAGGAGGCCCTCGTCGACGCTCATCATCGCGCCGGCGTTGTCGAACTCCCCACAGTAGTTCGGCGCCGAGAACAGGGTCACCAGTCGCCGCTTGGCGAAGAACTCGTACCCATCTTCCACCACCNGGGGGGGGGGGGGGGGGGGGGGGGGGGGGGGGGGGGGGGGGGGGGGGGGGGGGGGGGGGGGGGGGACGCAGGAAGGAGAGCAAGCTGGTGAGCGTCGCGTCCGCGGCCAGGGCGTCACACAAGCGACAAGCGATGTACCACACGCATTAGCGCTCGTAGATGCTGAAGAGAGAGGCCCCAACATAGTGATGAGAACATCCGCAGTAGATCGTCTGTGCGTGTCGTTACTACTAGCATCGACAGCGCTAACCGGCTGACACATAAAAGGACGTCAGTCTTACGGCCGGGAACAAAAAACACCAACACGATTCTACAGGCCATGATCCGGGACCCTGTGAGGTATGTTGTTCTTTCTTGACCCCCGCCCCCCCCCGCTCCTTGGGATTATCGTCTCCCTGGCGTGCTCGTCACACACTGCCGGTAGTCCTTAGAATATCACCCTGTCCGCGGGGACTGGCCGGTCGGGGGACGCATGTTCATACACCCTGTGGCGTACCCCCCCCCCCCCCCCCCCCCCCCCCCCCCCCCCCCCCCCCCCCCCCCCNCCCCCCCCCCCCCCCCCTCCCCCGCGCCCCCTGGTCACAGCCAATGGGAGACTACACAGTCTACGGGGCAGAAGAGCTACCGCATGGTCACCTGGTGGGCTCGGCAGATCAGATCGAGGTCGTGCGAGGCCAGAAAGTCCCTGACGATGTCTTCCCCGAACGTGAACGAAACGCCTCTGTCGTTCTCTCCCCACCCGATGATGTCGCGGTCGGGATCTGACCAAAGCAGGTCGCACAGCAAACCTGTCAAGCCGGCGAACAAAGAACCAAGCGCGCGATCGCGTCCGTTCATGTGTTAAGACCACGTCATCATCATCGCAGCAGAAAGAGTCTAGGTAATGGAGGCCAATCAAAATGGCAAATGCGCCAACTTCGGTGAGAGGTTTTCCGGAAATGCTGCGGGCGTGTTTCGCCCTCCTGTACGCGGGGTTACGAAGAGAGAGACACCCACAAAACTTAACGTAATCTCGACAAAGATAGCTCAATCGCAATCAATTGTAACGCAAATGAAGCTTGGGGCATCAAGTCAAGTTACCGCTGGCGGAAAAATAATCAACCGAACGAAGTAGAACTCCCCTAAGCCGAGGCAAAATATGAACCTTCCGCCCTCCTCGAGCAGTGTCTTGGAGGCCTTCCCAGAGCTGGCTGGCGACCAAAAGATCGATACAGAGGCCACACCTCGGAGGGGCTCTTGCCAAACCACAACAGTGTTCAAGGATGAATCGAAGCTGCGGTGGTGACTCGGCTTTGTAGGGCCGCGAGGTCAATGGTGTAACGACGATGGCATGCACGGTTATGAGTACCCCCCTCATCCCCCCCTCCCTCACCTGTATCAGGCACATCCGTCGGTCTCGAGACCCTGTTGATCTGTTCCATGTCGAACAGCTCCGGTGACAGTCCGCCGTGAGCGCAAAAAATCTTGTCGTCCACGATGGCGGCTATGGGGAGACAGTTGAAGCAGTCCGTGAATGTCCTCCAGAGCTTGGTGGAGTACCGGCGCTTGCCTGAGACAGAGAGGAAGGGGGGGGAGTGTACTCATAGTCGTGCATGCCGTGTCGTTAGACCGTTGACCTCGCATCCCTACAAAGCCGGGACGGAGCACAACGGGTTCTCACCGGACCAGGCTCTCACATCATATTCGGCGAGTCGCATGAAGGGTGCGCTGCATCCTGCTAAGTGTGTTCGGCATCTTGTGCGTACTTCCTTGCGTACGGATGACAGCTGCGTATGACTTGATT